TTTTAAAAGGTCTCTATCACTTAAAAAAAAAAAAAAAAAAAAAGAAGAAGAAGAGGCAGGATTAAAGACTTTGCATCTCTGCCTACAAAAAAAAAAAGTGTACAATTCAGTGGTATTTAAAATATTAGAACATCACCACTATCTAATTCTAGAACATTTCATCACCCTATAAATAAATTCTATGCCCATTAGTAGTCAGTCCTCACTCTCCTTCCCCAATCTTAGGCCACCATTTATTTCTTCTCTGTCTCTATAGATTTTCCTGTTCTGAACGTTTTATATAAAATGGAACCATACAGAATCTGGCCTTTGCCTCAGACTTCTTTCACTTAGCATGATGTCAAAGTTCATTCATATTTCAGCATGTATCAGTACCTCACTCTTATTTTCTTATTCATTTATTTTTTGAGGTACTGGGATTGAATCTGGGACCTCCAGTTTGCTAAGGATGCTCTACCTCTGAGCTACATCTCCAATTTTTTTGTTTGTTTGTTTTGAGTACCAGGAATTGAACTTAGGGGCACTCAACTACTGAGCCACATCCCCAGCCCTATTTTGTATTTTATTTAGAGACAGGGTCTCACTGAGTTACTTAGTGCCTCACTTTTGCTGAGACTGGCTTTAAACTCAAGATCCTCCTGTCTCAGCCTCCAGAACTGCTGGGATTACAGGTATAATGTAATCTTCTTCTTTTTTTTTTTTTAGTTGTAAATGGACATAATACTTTTATTTTGTTTATTTTTATATGATGCTAAGGATCAAACCCAGTGCCTCACACATGCCAGGCAAGTGCTCTACCACTGAGCTACAACCCCAGCCCACATTCTCAACTTTTTTTTAATATATTTTTTAGTTGTAGTTGGACACAATATCTTTATTTTGTTTTTATGGAGTGCTGAGGATTGAACTCAGGGCCTTGCACATGGTAGGTGAACACTCTACCACTGAGCCATATCCCTAGCTCAACATTCTCAGCTTTTTAAGTTTTTATTTTTATTTATTCATTTATTTATTTTTAAGAGAGTGAGAGAGGAGAGAGAGAGAGAGAGAGAGAGAGAATTTTTAATATTTATTTTTTAGTTCTTGGCGGACACAACATCTTTGTTGGTATGTGGTGCTGAGGATCAAACTCGGGCCGCATGCATGCCAGGCGAGCGTGCTACCACTTGAGCCACATCCCCAGCCCATATTTTTTTTTAAATATTTATTTTTTAGTTTTAGGTGGACATAATATCTTTATTTTATCTTTTTGTGGTGTTGAGGATTGAACCCAGTGCCTTGCGCATGCCAGGCAAGTGCACTACCACTTGAGCCACATCCCCAGCCCTTTAAGTTTTTATTTTAAGACAGGTTCTCCCTATGTTACCCAGGCTGGCAATTAAATTTGGAATCCTCCTACCTCAGCCTCCCACCAAGCCTCCTTCTCGTTTCTTTTTATGGCTAGAGAATAGTCCGTAGTGCAAGTATATCACATTCATCAGGTGAAAGACATTTGGTTATTCCATTTTTGGCTACTATGAATAATGCTGCTGTGCACATCTGTGGACAGGTTTTTGTGTGTACTTACAGTTCTTTCAAGTGTAACCTGGGAGTGGACTTGCTGGGCCTTATGGTAACTCTGTTTTGCTCTTTGAGAAACCACCAGTTGCTTTCCGTTGCAGTTGTGTCTTTGTGTCTTCCCCGAAGCAGCGTGAGGGGGTTCTGGTTTCCCCATGTCCTTGCCAGTGCTTCCCACCCTTTTGCTCATAAGCATCCTGGAGAGTATAGAGTGTGTATCTCACTGTGGCCTTGACATGCATGTCACCAGTGACTCATGATGGCAAGCATCTTTTCAGGTGTTTATTGGCTATTTGTTTACCTTTTCTGGAGAAGTGTCTGTTCAGATCTTTGCCCATTTTTAGCTGGGTTCTTTGGCTTTTCCTTGTTGAGTTGTAGCAGTTCCTGATATATTCTGAAGACTGGCCCCTTACCCTTTGTGTCTGTGTTGCTGTGCTGAGGAGCAGGACTTTGGGTTGGGCAAAGTTCACTGGGGACAGTGAGGCTTAGCTTCCTCCACTTGGCAAAGAGAACTCACAAAGTCAGGTGCCCTCTGCCAACCCTGGGGTGCAGTTGGCTTGGCTTGGGTTGAGCCCTTCATGTGACACACACTGATGTCTAGGGTTGACTTCTTCCTTGGAAATGTACCACTCCTTTCCCCAAGGTAAGCACTGAGACCTGCCTCTGGCACCAGTATCCTTCCTCCAAACTATCCTTTCCTTGGGAAGGTCAGGGAGACAGCTGGATGCAGGCACTTGACATCCTTTCATCTCAACTCTGTTCTCTGTAACCAAACAACTTCTTTTCTATCGTCCCTTGTTCCAGTGGCACTACCTGACAAGCCTGTTGAACTAACTTCACATACCAGAGGCTCCACACGTGCACCTCAGGGGCTCCCCTCTTCAAAGAGCAGAGCAAGGTAAGCACTGGGGCGGCCTGGGGATTGTGGCCCATCCAGCCCACTTCCCACTGGTGCATGCCTGCTGCTGAGGTTGGGAACTTCTATCCTCTTTCCTTAACTTCCAGTTATTGAAGGGCCCTAGAGGAGTGAAGGAGAACTGACTTGGAAGTTAGAAGCCAAGCCTTCTGGTCCCTTATCTGTTAATTGAGCAATTCCTGAACCTGTCTGAGCTTCAGTTTTCTTATGCTCAGAATAAGGGGATTGGCCCAGATCAGTAATTTTCAAGTTGTGTTCACTCTCTTGACAGATGAGCAGTAAGGGAGGAACCTTGTCGTGCTCCACCCTCTATCTTCATTTTAGCTACAGCAGTTGTCTTCCTCTTTCCTTTTTTTTTTTTTAATATTTAGTTATAGGTGTTGATGGTCTTTTATTCATTTTGATGTGGTGCTGAGGATTAAATCCAGTGCCTCACACATACTAGGCAAGTGCTGTATCTCTCAGCTACATCCCCAGCCTCCCTTTATTTCTAACAGTTTGGTTTTAAAAGGTCTCTATCACTTAAAAAAAAAAAAAAAAGAAAAGAAAGAAAAGAAAATCACTGCACTAGGTGCTCATGAATTCCTTTTTGCATATTTGTCCTCTTGGAGAAATCTCTCCAAGTTCTCTAAGCCCCTCTTTTTTTTTTTTTTTTTTGGTGGTGCTGGGATTGAACTGAAGGCCTCATATGTGCCAACCATATGCTCTACCACTAAGCTCTCACTCTCCATTTTTTAGAATAACCTGACCAGGTAGAGGGGTTAGTGCCGATTGCACCCATCTCTTTGCAGGTCCCTCCTGGAAGACAATATTTTTGATACCCTGGTAGAAGCTGATGCTGAGGTGAGCCTGGCCCAGTCCCCAGTCCTTAGCCTCTCTGCTTATCCCTGAGAACAGTGAGATTGGTGTGGTGGCCAAGGAGCCTCTCACAGAAGTGTGTAGAAATCCTGGCAAAGTCACTTTATTCTTAAAGCAAAACAATGCCCAAGGGCTGCCGCATGGACCAACCAGAACCGTGAACTAGAAGGTAGGCCTCTTGCAACTATGGGAGCTGGATGTTGCCCTTCCTGTAAGAAGCTCCATATGGTCTGGTCACATGATTGGGAAGCAGTAAAGCTCAGGTCCTGTGATGTAAGTGACCTCTCCACTGGGAGGAACAGAAAGTGGCAGCACTTTACGGGGCTCCACAGCTGGGCAAGTTTAACTTCACTACAGCTGAGCCCCAAGGGTAGAGGGCAAGGGACCCTTCTGTTTATGCCTATTGTCCAAGCTGTACCCCTGCTAAGCCACCTACTCCCACAGAAGCAAGGTAACAGGGGCTAGATCCCTTAGTGCTACTGGGCCTTGACTAATGTGCCTCTCATCTGCATCCTTGCCTCCTGTGGACTTAGATTTCCGATGTGTCAGAGGCAGACCCGCAGGCCTTGCTGCAGACCATGAAGGTAGGAAAACAGTTCCCAGACCCCAGGGTTGGGCTGGGATGGGGCACTGTTGCCTTATACCGTGGCTGTGTTCTCCCTCTAATGTCTCCTTTGGTACCGGGGATTGAACCCAGGGGCACTTAACCACTGAGCCACATCCCCAGCCCTATTTTGTATTTTACTTAGAGACAGGGTCTCACTGAAATGCTTAGGGTCTCACTAAGTTGCTGAGGCTGGCTTTGAACTCATGATCCTCCTGAGCAGCTGGGATTACAGGTGTGCACCACTGCACTTGGCTCCACCTGTGTTTCTGACCCTCTCCTAGTGCAAGAACAGAGGTACCCCTGAGCTATTACCCTTCTTTTAAATTAATTTTTATTGATGCATTATAGTTACATATAATAGTATGATTCTTTGTTACAGGTTCATACATGTATGTAACACACTTTGGTCAATTCCATTCCCAGTACCTTCTCCTCCGAACTGTTGCCCTTTTGCTCCCCTGCATATAATGAGCTTTCCTGCTATATGGAGACTGGAAAGTCTGTACCACAGGCCTCTGATTAAATGGGGCCAGCCTCCACCTGGAGACTCACCTGGAGATCATGTCGCCTCTAAAGCCTATTCTTGACCTGTCCTTAACTTTTTCTCTTAACCTTTTCTGTCCATGTCCCTGCTAACTAGTATCCCCTTCTCGTCACATCCAGCCCAGAGCTGATCTTTTTACACTGGAATCTTAAGATATAAATTCTGAACCATGTGTAAGAATATGATCACACAGTGCTCAGGGGCTTGGTTGTCCCTCACCTACAGCCAGCAGCAGCCTGCCCTCTGACTCCAGGCTGCATGGCCCAGCCATTTACTCCGTTTTGTCACAGTCTCTGGGTGAAGGCTGAGCTCTTGGCTCCATCCCTGTAGAGCTCGAAAGAATTGGCATCCATTCCCTTCTTGGCTCCAGACTCAGTCTGAAATTTTTCTCCCCCAGGCCAGCTGGCCATTGCCACAGTCTGGCTGGGCACAAATCATGAGCCACTGAAGCAGGAACAAACTTTATTACTGAACTCCTCCAGCACACTCCACACACGCTCCCCGGAACTCTCCCGAATGCCATGGGGCTCCTCCAGGAACCACTAACCGGAAATCCCTCCTCCGGCACTTCCCCAACCAATGCGAACTCTCCAGGAATCCCCACGAGAACTCCAAAGTAAGGAGCCCCAGGCGCACAGTAAAGGTCTAATATACAATTGAATCAATTCAGCATCATCTTAATGGCTCGCCTCTCAACCAATACTATTGGCAAAATGCCAGGGGCCATTCTGACTGGCTGTGGCTCTCAACAGGCCATAGTCCCAGGCATGACCCTCAGGTCCTCTGATTCTATTTTTGGTGGAGATTTTGAATCTCCTATTCCCAGACCATGAGCCTGGCCCCTGACTCTACTCTGCTCACCTTCAGTTCCATTTTCTTTCCAAACTCACTATTTTTCTCAACAGGGTTTTATTTTCCTCTGTTCTCTCATAGTTGCCTGCCTCCTCCTTAGCTAGAACCCCTCCTCCCATTCTGACTACCAACTTTACATTACTGCAACAAAATACCCAAGATGGTTCACTTATAAAGAGAGGAGGATTATTTAGCTCACAGTTTTGGAAGCTCAGGGTCCAATTTGAGGTGGAGGCGGGGATTGGTTTGGCCTCCAATGAGGTGAGGTGAGGGTGCCAGATGGTGGCACATCATGGCAGGAACATGTGTGGGAGCAAATGATCACATTTGGAACTAGAGCAAAGAAAGAGAATGGGGGGTCCCACAGTCCCTTTCAAGGTCTGCAGTTAACTTTTGGACTTTGCACAAGGCCCCACCTTCTAAGACCACCACTCTGGGGCCAAGCCTTTCACACAGACCTTAGGGGGACACTGAGCACACACCACAGCATCTCCCCAGGCATTGCACCCCACTGTCCTATTGTCTAGGATCTAGATGACATGGACGCCGATATCCTGGGTTTGAAGAGGTCTCATCTAGCCTCTGGCAAAACATCTACCAAGGGTTCTGGGAAAGAGGAGCTGCCTAGCAATCCCAGACCTGCCAGCAGGCTCACAGCTGGTGAGAAGGGTGAGTAGAGGATGGTACCTCAGAGGTGCTTAGAAGGACGCATATGTCCTGTGGGTTTTTTCAGCTTGGGACAGAGAGGCCAAGGCTAATTGTGCCTCTGTGTGTGTGTGTGTTAGGTGGGTAGGGGGTGGTTCCATTTCCTCTAAGTTCAACGTGTGCAACTCCTCAAGGAGCTTTTCCAGTTAAAATGGAAAGTGGGGTCTGGGTGTAGCTCAGTGGTAGAGCACTTGCCTGACACACATGAGGTCCTAGGTTTGATTCCCAGCACCTTCGAGAATAATAATTTCTTTTTAAAAAGGAAAGTTGCACGGTAGCTTCTGCCTCTCCCTGCTCCCCGATCCCTACTCCCTGTTTGGAGTCTGTTTGGAGTGATGCATGACAAGGGGCTGACAGCAGGCCTCTTACCACATTTCCCTGCCAGAAGCCTGGGTGAGAATGGGTATGGACTCTTCCATGGCTGTGCCTGTGCCCACGGGCTCAGGCTTCCTAGGATGAAGTATTCCCCACCCAAAGTCGCTAGTCCAAGGTGTGGAGGAGGACCTCAGCCAGGAAAGACCTAGTCCCACAATTTCTCTCTCTCTCTCTTCTTCCTTTAGGGGACACAGTTGCCACCAAGCATCCAACCACCTCTCCCAGCAGCTTTGGGCATCAGTATAGGAAGCTTTCCTTTGGAGGTACCAGAAACCCTAGTTCTGCTCCTAGACACTCGGTTTTGAGAGTAGCCAGGGTAATGCTTGCTGCTTGCCAGAGGTCAAGTCTGTGTATCAGAGGAGGAGCAGAGAGCTGGTATCCTGATGCCAGTCCTAGAGGAGGGGTGAGCTGGGTTGTATTGGCCAGGGCATTTGGGGAACTTACTTGCAAGGAAACCAGGTATCAAAGTACAGATTTTCTGAAGTGTAGGAAAATCTACACAGTGCTCTACTTCTCTTCTGATCCCTTTGGGACATTTCTGGGAGCCCCTGCAGCTAGCTAATAGAGTCAGAGTTGCCCACCGCCCCTTGTGTGAGCTTTGTCTCTGTGTCATAGCCTCCTGCAGTGGGCTGTACCCTGCAGTGCTAAAGAGCTTGTTCGTGTTCTGGGGGTAGCTGCCCCAGCCCCAGCCCTGTTTTTCTTGGACAAAGTGCTGTAGTCTAACTTCTGCTTTCCCTTTTGGCTCTGAGACTTGGAAGACCCATTGGCAGGACTTCTCTCTGATGAGGAAGAAGACATTGCCAAGAAGCCACCTGTGACAGAGAGTAAAACAGCTTCCAACAGAAGTCCCATCCCAGTCAGAGAGCAAGGTGAGTTGGAGGAGCTTGTTCCTCATCCTGGGGGCAGAGTCTGTTGAAAACAGACAATTTTACTGAACTTTCTGGTGTGGAATCTCAGCAGGGTGGGACCACAGGTCTCAAGTCCAGAAAAGGTTATCAGTCTCCAGAAGCAGGGAGGGGGAAGCATGGGCCTAGGAGTGTGGAGGAGTCAGGTCCTATAGGCCAACCAGACAGGTAAACCTGTTACCCGCCTCCTGGCCCATCAGTCATGATAGAGAGCAAGTGGGCTGGGGATGTGGCTCAAGCGGGTAGTGCGCTTGCCTGGCATGCGTGCGGCCCGGGTTCGATCCTCAGTACCACATACCAACAAAGATGTTGTGTCCGCCGAGAACTAAAAAATAAATATTAAAAAAAAAAAATGATAGAGAGCAAGAAGTCTATGAGGCCTGGATCCTGGTTCTGTTTCCTAGGTCCCTGTGTTCCTCTAACTCCTGGGGACACTCCCATCCGAAAGAAGGAATTGCTGTTTGATGATGGGGACGACATCATGGCTACCCTGGGGTTCGGAGACAGCCCCAAGGGAGAGAAGAGACAGATGGGTGACCAGTAAGGATGATTATGAGTGGAGGATCCTTGCTGTGGTGCCACCTCAAGAAAAGCTCAAGAGAAGGGACAGTGTGGTCCCCCTGAGAGCCTCCTTGCCACAAATTCCTTCCCCCCATCCCATCCTGCAGGGAAGGGCCCCGCCCTGCTCGCTCCAAGCTGGATGACCTGCTGGGTCGAAGCACAGCCTCAAAACTCCTAGCTCATCCGAGTCCCGGACAACACAGAGAGTTCAAACTAGACAAAAAATATCAGAAACCACAGGGTGAGGAAGCCAAGGGGCAGGATGGGACAGGAGGGAAGGGGAAGGTACCTCTAAACCTGGTCTCTACCACTGGCACCATGACATGTTGTCATGACACATACACATGATCAACACGTCTGTAACGGAGACAGAAGTGTCAAGAGATAACTCTTACCCTTGTCCTGTCCAACATCCTGTTGCTTTATGTACATGCTATCTGATTATGAATTACTATTTAAGTTGGTTTCTCTACCCTCTTTTTTCTTTCTTTCTTTTTTTTTTTTTTTAGGGTACCGGGGATTGAACTCAAGGGGCACTCAACCACTGAGCCACATTCCAGCCCTATTTTTTATATTATTTGGAGACAGGGTCTCACCAAGTTGCTTAGCACCTCGATTTTGCTGAGGTTGGCCTTGTATTCAATCCTCCTGCCTCAGCCTCCCGAGCCACTGGGATTACAGGCATGTGCCACCATACTTGGCTCGACCGTCTTGATAGGCAATAGCTCATGTCTTAAAAATTTCTCAGGACCAGTGTTTCTCAAAGCATCATCCCACCAGCCGTCTGTTGAGATTTGTTCTTGTGAAACACAGCATTCTGGGCCTGACCTTAAGGGAGGTGGGCAGGGCTTGGCCATGTGTCTCCACAGTCCCCAGATGTTCTCATGCAGCCAAAGGGCTTCCTCTCGAATAACCCCACTCTGCTTCTCTTACATGTAGGGCTGCCAGTTCCTCTGCTCTAGGTCATGGTCACAGGCCCCTTATTTTACAGACAAAGAAGAAGATAGCTGGGACAATGAGGACCTCATCTTTGGGGCCTACCAGCCCACTGTGGGCTCCTCCGAGGGTCCACAGTCTCGGCGACAGTCTGTCAGGTAAGCAGGGCCTGGGGAGGCCAGCCTCTGGAAAGGCAGGTTCCTGCAGCTCTCCCCATCCTACCTGACAGCCCTGTGGGGGGAGGCAGGGTGCAAGGCTCTGTGGGTGCTAAAGGGAAAGAAGGCTGCCTGGTCCCAGCAGTTCAAGCAGAAGGGTGGAGACAAGCTCGATCCTGGATTTGGCCCTGACCAACAGCCTCCTGATTTTTAACAGAAGATTAAATCAGTGATGGAATTGTCTGAATTTTTTTCTCTTAGTATATATGTTAAACTGTATTTTGTTGGGTTTTTTTTTTTTAATATTTTTTAGTTGTCAATGGGTCTTTTATTTAATTTATTTACTTATATGCGGTGCTGGGGATTGAACCCAGGGCCTCACACATGCCAGGCAAGTGCTCTACCACTGAGCCACAATCCCAGCCCATTAAACTGTATTTTGAAGTAATTTCACACTTCTAGAAAAGTTATAAGAACAGTACAGAGAATTTCGTCCTGCCCTTCACCAGGCTCAGCACGATCAGCTCTGCTGCCCTGGCCTTGTCTCTCTCTTTCCAGCTACATAACTACTCCAGATGGATTTTTCTTCCCATTCCCAGAATGTTTTTTCCCCGCTTGGTGCTGGGAATGGAATTCAGGGCCTCACGTATGCTATGCGCATGCTCTACTGCTGAGCTTCATTGTCCCCAGCCCCTCAGTCCCAGAATATTCCTTTTTACTTTTATTTTTTTGCCACTCTGGGATTCAAACCTAGAGTTTCATGAATGCTAGGCAAGCATGTCACCCAGAGCCACATCCTTAAATAGCATAGAACATGCCACTGCCCTGCCCCTGGAGCTAATCCAGGGGCCTGCTCATTGGGCCACACGTTGGTTGTGCAGAGTTGCTGGGCATCTCTGACTCTTTGCTGTGGACCTCACAGTCCACCCTCCCACCTCCCCTACACCCGACAACAGAGGGAAAGACTGGCAAGGGGCTGTTGGGACAGGGTGCCTCCCCTGCCTGATGCCGCTCTTTCTGTCTTGCAACAGGGTCGTAGAAGGTGGCCCAGACCCCAAGGGAGAACCAGGCACCAAACAAAGTCCCCAAGCAGCTTCCAGCCCAATCTCCCCCAGGAAGGGAGGAGCTGACTGGTTGGGCCTCAAGGATGACGACTTGGACCTGCTGCCTCCCTCTCCCACCCGAGACTCCTGTTGGGGAGGCTTGGCAATCTCCACACCTTCTGTACCTGGTCCTGTGAGCCAGCACTCAGCCCTAGACCCAAACTCTGCCCCATCTGGGCTGCCCTCCTCAGGGTCAAAGCCACCAGCAGAGAATACAGGGCCGTCTGCCCAAGCCAGCCAGTCCTCCAAGCTGCGAGAGTCTGAGGCGGGAGAGGAGGAGGATTGGCTGAGCCATGTCTTGTCTAGGAAGAAGTCCCAGGGTGTGGCCAGAGAGGAGCATGCTGACACTTATAAGGGTCCGAACTCAGTGGGAACAGCCAGGTACGGGCCTGGGCTGCTGTATCTGTGAGAAGGCCCAGGCAGGGTCTCCAGGGCCAGCTTTCCCATCTCGCCTGCCACATTCTCTGTGGGAGATGTCAGCAGTATGCCATGGGCCACTCTCGGCTCTGCTTCTTTTCCTGTTGGGCACAGCAGAGAGGGCTGCTCACCTGCCCAGGCATGGATGCTAGAGGGCTCGGGGCTGTGGACAGACACACTCTGCCTTGGCAGCAGGGACTTACTGGATCAGGCAGAAGAAGACCTGCCCTGAGGTGGCAGGTTCTGCCGTCCTCTGCTTCTGAGCAGGGGCCCTGTCCACGGCATTCTCGGCTGGGAAGGGAAGCCCAGTGTGTGACTGTCAGTGTTTCTGTCAGCCCAGCTGAAATAACTGAAGTGCATGTGGGTAGAGATGGTCGTGGCTCTGGGGCATGTCTGAGAAGACGTGGTGGCCAAGACACAGTTCCTAGGGAGCCACAGAGTAGCCAGCTGGTGGGGCAGGGTATGAGTGACCTCTGAGGGCAGGAAGATGAAAGGGCCTGGCAGGGCTGAGTCCAGAGGAAGCAGAGAGATGCTCTGGAGAGCCGTGTGAGAGCACAGGGACATCACCACACCCTGGGCTGAATGTGATGACGAGGACAACTTTGACTTTGACCTGAAGCCAAGGGCAGAGCTGTGACCCAAACAGGAAAGACCTTTGCTGCCCTGCAAGCCCAGAGGGGTGCGAATAACATGAAAGTAGCTGACAGGCAGCTGTCCTGGGGGTGACTGGGCAGAGCTGTGGTTTAAGGCTGAATGGAGCTAAGTGGACTGAGACAGGCTTGAACTTGAACTTAACTGCGGTGTGTGTGATGTGCCATTGTCAGTCCATGGACAGTCACTGCCTTATGGCCACCAAGGTCAGGAGGTGGTTCTGGAAGGGAAGGGCAGCCCACACATTCCCGGAGCTCAGTCTGGGAGAATCCTCAAGATGAGGGTGGGAACAGAAGGCCAAGGAGAAGCAGGAAGAGGAGAGGGGTGCCACAAGTGTCACACTGGGAGCTCATCCATGGCCATGGTCATCCAGCCTAACCTGGGCCTTCTGTCACCTTCGCCTTTAACATGTGCTGTCCTCAGCCAACCTGTCACCAGCACTCAGGGGCTTCATCAGGCAGCTGTGGGAAGGACCTCAGGAGCAACAGAACAAGAAATACCAGTTGCCAGGCCCCTCATCACAGGGTATGTCGGCAGCCAGGGCTGGGAAGGAGTGAGGCAATAGGGCCTGCCCAGGCCTCCTTCCCCATAGACGGATGGCAGGTGGCCGTGCTGGGACCCCAGGTGGCCACTGACCGTAGTGTTCAGTGTCTCTGTCAGGCCCACCCATGGCAGATCTGCGGCAGGCTGTGTCCCCATCTCCTTTACCAGCAACAGAACAAGAAATACCAGTTGCCAGGCCCCTCATCACAGGGTATGATCCAGCACAGCCAGATCCTGCTCTCCTAGTAAAAAGTTACTTATCTGAAGTTCGCCTCAACTTCTGCTGCCACCCTTTCCCTTCTCTCTCTGTGTCCTGCACAGAGCACTATTTACCTGCCCTGTCCCTGTGTCTGCAGGTCCCCTGAGAGTTGGAGCCATTCTCTCTTGGCCCTCCCTGCAGGTGACCCAAAGAGAACAACAGCCTCTGGAGACCCCTATGGCACCGGTTTGTTTCTGCTTTACTTGGGCTTTAGTCCTGGGTGAGGAAGAGGAGCCTGGAGCTCCTTTGAGGCCCCCAGAAACCAAGTAACAAGGGACTCTCAGAACAGAGCAAGGCAGAGAGCCCTGGGCTCCTCTGGGCCTCCTGATCATTTCTCTGCGGTTTATTTTTCAGAGCCTATGGTTTGTTTCCCCAAATCTCAGGAACCCACTGGGCTCTCTGTACCAGCCAAGGTAGGGAGCATGGACAAACAGGTACAGGTCTTAGGCCGGGGGAGTTCATCCACGTTCAAAGTCAACTCCAGGAGTTGGCTGTGACAACCTTCTGGGAAAGCAGTGTCAGATATGCCCAGCGTAGTACCAGCCAGAACACTGTGGCACACCTCACCAGTGCTCTCTTGAACTTTTAGCCTCAGGACGCCCATGTGGTGTTGGGGTGAATCTGCCAGCATCGATAGGGAGTTGCAGGTGATAGGGAGCCCAGCTCTCAGCAGGCTGGGACAGCCAGGAATGCTGCATTCAGAAAGCAGGGCCGCATCCATCTAGAAAGCCTCCTCTATCCTTGCCATCCTCCCACCACACCTCCAGCTCTGTTGCCCAGGTGTGGCAGTCAACTCTGACACCTGGGCCTAGGAGGTGTGGCACCCAGCATAGTGCTCCTGGAAGAAGTGGGTGAGGGGCGGCTTATAGAAAGCAGATTAGTGGCTGGTCCAACAGTAAGGGCCAGTGTCATAGGTGGGCCACCTGGGTTTCTGGCTCAACAGAAAGGGCCACTGTCATAGCTAAGACTGATTCTTGTCTCAGAAGCTAGAGACACCAAGGGGAGAATGTCATTTTGGGGGACAGAGGGACACTTACTTGCCTGACCAGAGCTGGATGGGGAGATGCTGCTGAATGCTCAGAGTGGCAGGGCCTGGGGCTCTCCAAGACCTTGTCCTGGTCTTGTCCCTGTCTGCAGCCACCTATGAGGGGAAAGCCAGGAAGTCCAGTGAGCAGAGGGCCGGGAGGTAGCCAAGCTCAGCTCCTGACATGGGACAGCTCTCATCTTCCCCTGCAGTCCCTGTTCCCAGAGCCCCTGGAGCAGAGCCTGCTGCCAGGTGTGGGATACCAGAAGCAGCTCCTGGCAGCCCAGGCGCAGCTTCAGAGTGGCACTGCCCAGCTCCAAGCAGAGCTGCTGCAGAGCCACACACGGCTGGCAGAGCTGGAGGTTCAGGTAAGGGACATTGGCCATCTGTGGGGGGAGTCCAGGGGTAATGGGCTAGAGGCTTTGCCAGAGGGGAAGAGGACTACAGGCACAAAGTGGTATGGGGCAGACGCCAAAGGACCTCTCGCCCGGCGGCATGCTGACTTACCACTGTCTCCTAGGTGCGGAAGCTGGAACTAGAGCGGACCCAGCACCAGCTGCTGCTGGAAAGTTTACAGCAGCGGCACCAGGCAGACCTGGAGCTCATTGAGAATGCACACAGGTACCTAGCAGCTCCTTCCTGTGGTCTGCCTTGGTCTCCCCAGGCTGATGTCCTGCCCCAGCGCTGCTTGCATCTCTTCACTGAACCCCAAGACCATGCTGATATGCTCAGAAAGGCCCTTTGGTGGGTATTCTCTTGGCAGAAGCCGCATTAAGATGCTAGAGACATCATACCAGCAACGGGAGGAGCGGCTCCGGAGAGAGAATGAGGAGCTGTCAGCTCAGTATCTCTCTCACTGCCACGAAGCTGAGCAGGCCCGAGCCGAGCTCTCCGCCCAGCACCAGCGGCGCTTGGCAGCAGCGGCACAAGAAAAAGACCAGGAGATGGAGCGGCTTCGGGAGCTACAACGGTGAGGGCAGAGAAGAGCAATAATGAAGTGACCCCAGGCTGTGGCTCTGCAGCCTTTGCATGGGGTTTGAGTCCTTCCCTTTGGCCCACTGAGGTGAGGACCAATGCTAAGCACACCAGCCTATTGGCCCACCTGAGTGGGGTGCCACTTCTTCTGAGGCAGGAGGGGCAAAAGCCAAAGGAGTGTAGCCTTCCAGGAGGCAGGGCAGAGCAGCAGCAAGCACCAGAGGACCCAGCCAAGCTAGGTTACTCCACTCACCTCTCCCATGGAGACTAGTGACTAGCTCCACCATGGGAAAGCTGTGCTTATCATTGCTGGTGTGTTGATCTGGTTGCCTTTCTGGATGAGAATGAACCAAGAAAAGGTGCTTGAGCAGGCTTGTTAAGACTGGCCCTATGGACCAGACACAGGGGTTAGGCACACAGCTTTTACTCTGTGAAAAGTGAATTTTTCTTAATAATAGGAGGAATCTTTTGGTGCACATGGCCTTGAGGCACCAGGACAGATGAGATAGAAGAGTCAGGAAGCCGGGCGCAGTGGCTCAGGAGGCTGAGGCAGGAGAATTGCAAGTTCAAAGCCAGCCTTGGCAACTTAGCAAGGCCCTGTCTCTAAATGAAATATAAGTTAAATTAAAAGGGGCTTGGGGATGTGGCTCACCTGAACCTAGGTTAAAAATGCCTAGGTTCAGTCCCTGGTATGAAAAAGAAAAAAGGAAAGTCATAGAGACTGAGTGTCTGGGGGAGGAGGAGGCAGAGGGACCGCACAGAGGCGGCTGCTTCCGTGAAGAGCTGCCAGGGTGTTCTCCCCACATCCCGTCTGTGTGGTTCTGCTAGAGTGGCCCTAGGCCAACCGCCTCTGCCACCCTCTCCTCAGGGCATCCATCCTGGAAATGCGCAAGGACCATGAGGAGCAGCTGCAGCGACTGAAGTTGCTGAAGGACCGAGAGATCGATGCAGTTACCAGTGCCACCTCCCACACACGGTGTGTGTCCCACCCAGCACTGCCCACCCAAGGGGCCAGGCCTGGGCCTCCGCAGGCTGAGGTTCCCTGATGGATCACCCTCCAGGTCCCTGAATGGCATCATCGAGCAGATGGAGAAGTTCTCCAGCAGCCTGAATGAGCTGTCCTCCCGCGTGGAGGCCTCGCACCTCACCACCTCGCAGGAGCGGGTGCTGGGAATCCGGCATCAGGACGAGCAGCTGCGAGGTACCCTATCCCCACCTCAGTAGCCCAGGCTCCCCTCAGGAGGAAGGAGGGTAGGAAGTGAGCGCCCTGTGGGCCACCCAGCACTGCAGGAGCGGCTGAACCGGCAGCAGCAGGACATGGAGGAGGAGCGTGCTCGGCTACAAGAGGTCATTGCGAAGATGGAGGCCCGGCTAAGTGAGCAGAGCCGGCTGCTGGAGAAGGTGAGCCTCCTCCTACCAGAGCCCTGGGAGGTCGGCCCTCTGACCTGCTTCCTGAGTCCTGCAATCGCCCAGGCCCAGATCTCCTCTCAGTGTCCCTCCTGCCATTCCTGCCTGTGTCTCCCAGCTCTGCCCTGCCTTGAGCACTGCCCACCTGAACACACACGGTCTCCCTGGCTGGGCCACCTCTCACTTAATTCCTTGGCCACTGGCCCTGGGGTCCCTCCACGTCTTCCTCCACCAACTGTGCTTCTTTCCTCCTGTCACCCAGATCTGTCATGATAGATGATGCCTGTGGCACTGGGACAGATGCTCTTGCCCACTCAATGTCACTTAACCTCTTTAGTTGTGACAAATTCATTTGCACGTCTAATGTACATTCAAATATAAGAGCAAGCTCTGTTCTTTAAAAAGGACCGACATTTTCTATCTTTTGTGCTGGATCATAACAGGAACGCTGGCGTGTGAATGCCGAACAGTCCAAGGCTGAGTCCACGCAGCGTGCTCTGGAGGAGCAGAGGAAGGTCTTGGCCCAGCAGATCGCCATAGAGAGGGAAGAGCTGGAGAGGGCCAAGGTGAGTCCAGCACCAGGCTCAGCTGCTGACCCACCATTACACCCAGACAAGACGCTCACCACGCCCTCACCCTCAAATCTAGAGCGCCTTGCTGGAGGAGCAGAAGTCCGTCATGCAGAAGTGTGGGGAGGAGAGGCGGCGCCTGGCAGCCGAGTGGGCTGAGTTCTTCACGCAGCAGAAGCTGAGTAAGGAGCGGGCTGAGCGTGAGGCCGAACGAGCACTGCAGGTGGACACCCGGCGGGAGGGCACTCTCATCAGCCTGGCCAAGGTAGGGTAGCTGGAGAAGGTGAGCCTCCTCCTAACAGACCCCTGAGAGGTCGGCCCTCTGGGCAAGAGCATCTGTCCCAGTGCCACAGGCGTGAGGCAGCCTCCAGAGCAGCCGTGGCCTTCCTCCTAGGTGCGTCAGTTTCGGGCTTACGAAATAAGAGCATAGTGATGACATACTTAGAGTGCAGTGGTCAAACAAGTATTGTCACCACAGTAACTCCCTTGCGTCCCCAGAGGCATTTTATACACTTTTTTCCTCATTTAGTACTCATTAGAACCTGGCTTGGTGGTGTAGGACTGTAATCCCAGCTACTCAGGAGGCTAGGTGGAAGAATTTCAAGTTCAAGGCCAGCCTGGGCAACTTCCTGAGACCCTGTCTCAAAATAAAAAGGGCTAAGGCCACACATGGTGTGCATGCCTGTAATACCCATGATTCTGGATGCTAAGAGAGGAAGATCACAAATTCAGGGGCAGCCTCAGCAAGTTAGTGAGGTTCTAAGCAACTTAGACCATGTCTTAAAAAACAAAAAGGAGCAGGGTGGGCTGGTGCACACCTGTAATCCCAGTGACTCAGGAGGCTGAGACAGGAGGATCGGGAATTCAGAGCTAGCCTCAGCTAAAGTGAGGTGCCAAGAAACTTGGTGAGACCCTGTCACTAAATAAAATACAAAATAGGGCTGGGGATATGGCTCAGTGGCCCAGTGGCCCTAAGTTCAATCCCTGATACTACCTCCAAAAAACAAACAAGAAGCAAACAAAAAGAGCTGGCTATGTGGCTCAGTGATACAGTGACAAAGTACCTCTTTTCAATCCCCAATACCAAAAAATAAAAATAAATAAAAAGGGCTGAGGATGTGTAGTGGTGCTTGCCTAGCAGGCAGAAGGACTTGGGTTTGATTCTTATTAGCTCCTATGACTTCAATAGTCTAGAAATGAGGAAACAGGTTCAGAGGTGAACCTGCTGCAGTTATACAGCTTGTTGGGGAGCACCCCAGCTTGGCCTCATGCCTCTCTGGTCCATCCTGGAAGCCCCAGAAGCAGGGTAGGCAGAGGGACCCTCGGGTGCTGCACAGCTTGCTATAGCTCCTAAGAGGTGGATGCAGAGAAGATTCTGCCTTCTCCAGGAACAGGGAGAGCTAAGGGTCAGGGCCAGTGAGCTCCGGGCCAAGGAGGAGCAGCTGGCAACTGAGAGGGAGGCTGTGGATCGGGAGCGGCAGGAGCTACAGCAGGAGAAGGAGAGGGTCAGAGCCGCCAGCCTGCGTCTCCAGCGCCGTGCTGAGGAGGTGGAGCACATGAGCCAGGTGAGGCTGGAAGGTGTGTGGGTTTGGGACATCTTCTGACCCTGGCCTTGACCCTGAAACCTCCTTGCAGGTGGCCTCTAAGAAGTACCAGGAAGGTGAGCAAGCTCTGCAGGAGGCCCGGCAGTTGCAGTCTGAGCAACAGGCCCGGCTGCAGGCCGTTAGGCAGCAGCAGGAGCGGCTGCAGCAGCAGGAGCAGCATGTACATCAGGCAAGGCTCCCCCTTTCCCCTCCTCCTGTCCGCATGCCCAGCCGCCTGCTCGCCCCACTGAGTTCTCCTATCTTGGGCTGGGGACAGGAGCACCTGAGCTTGGCACAGCAGAGGCTACAGCTGGACCGTGCTCGACAAGATCTGCCCTCCAGCCTCCCAGGGCTGTTCTCAACAGGCCAGGGCCCAGCAGCCTCCAGCCTGGGTGGTAAGTGGCTCCACGAGGAAGGGATGGGGCTCCGCCAGCCCAGAGCAGGGCCAGAAGAGGAGCTGGCTAACCTCCAGCTGCTCAATGTTTTTTTTTTTTTTTTTTGGTACTGGGGTTTGAACCCAGGGTTGCTTAACCACTGAGCCACATTTCCAGCCCTTTTTATTTTTTATTTTTAGATAAGGTCTTGTGGGCTGGCTTTATGGCTCAGCGGTAGAATGCTCACGTAGCATGTGCGAGGCCCTGGGTTTGATCCTCAGCAGCACATAAAAATACATAAATAAAGGTATTGTGTCCAGCTATAACTGAAAAATACATATTAAAAAAAATAAGAAGTTGCTGAGGCTGGCCTCAAACCTATAATCCTCCTATCCTCCTACCTCAGCCTCCAGAGTTACTGGGATTACAGGCATGCACCACTATGCTGAGGGTCTTGCTGACTTGCTGAGGCTGACCTCAAACTTTGAATCCTCCTGCTTCAGCCTCTCAAATCACTGGGATTATTAGTGTACACCACTGTGCCTAGTGCTAGTTTTTTTCTGGGGTTTTGTTTGTTTTGATTTGAAACAGGGTTTTGCTAAGTTGCTGAGGCTGGCCTCGAACTTGCAATCCTCCTGCCTCAGTCTCCCAAGATGCTAGGATTACAAATGTGTGCCACCGTGCTGCCTAAGTCTTAAAGTCATCTTGTTATTTATTTTTTTAAACAATTAATGCATGTTAACTTTAGAAAAATAAGTCAGAAATAGAGGGGGAATCTTTTTACAATATCACACTCAATTTGAGTCTCCAGTTCAGGGGAACCACTAGAACATTTTGGTGCCTGATGTTCCAGACTGATGGATGTTTTCAAACAAAATTGGGAATATGTTTTATAAGCTGGCTTTTACACTCAGTGATACACGTCTGGAATGTGTCTTCCTGTCGGTGATTTAACATTCTTGATCAGTGTCACTTTCCACTCTGAGGCTGTTCCACACTGAGGGTTTTTGTCACTAGGATGAGCAGTGCCTCCCTGGAAACCTCTCTGTACATCTTAGCTCCTTTGTCTGACTGATTCCCTTGAATAAATTCTTAGAAACAGATTTGTCAGATAGGAGCACACGAGTGTTTTTTAGAGGCTTTTGAGAGTTGGAGCCATGTGAACATCGGTCTAGTCCCACTACTGGGCAGCACGTGAGCAGGCCTTGCGGTACAGCCATGTGGTCCTGTTTTCCTTCCAACACTTTGGCCCTGACTTCCTCCTCAGCCTTCTCAGCTCTCGTGACTCCCGCCCCCACCACCCTTCAGGGCAGCCAGCTGCTGGCCAGCCCGGGCCCTGCGAAGCTCCTGGCCAAGTTGGTGCTGCTGAAGCACACAGCCGAGCAGGTGAGTGTCCACTAGGCCTGAGTCCTCTTATTCACTGTGGTGACATGCAGAGTCCCTCCATCTCGGGGCAGAGGCATCAGGGAGCATGTCACAACTCTGGGGAGCACTGACCCCAACTCCTGGAGGAGACTCAGAAGGCAGACTACTCGGCATGCAACTTGGAGGCTTCTGCTCTAGGCCAGGTTCTGTACGCAACAGCTGGCAAATGTCATCTCAGTTAAACCTCCTGACAGCCTGTGAATGCAGTGGCCACTCAGGGAGCATGTCCTGTGTGCTGGGCTTGATGCTCAGGCTTTAAGTAGATCAGCAACTTCACCCACACTCAGCTCTACATGGGAGAGATTCTTATCTCCAGATTAGAACAGGAAAGTGAGGCTCAGAGACAAGAGGTCATGTGCTAGAAGTCAGTTCCACTGCTAACAAGTGGCCTCCCAGGACTGAGACCAAAGTCTGCCCCACTCTATGCCTGGGCTCTTTCATGCCCCCACCCTGCCCCCTAGAGCCGGCTGATAACTGGGAGAGGGAGCCCCCAAGTGAGGGCTGTTTGGCCCCCCTCTCAGTGCATGGAAGTATGAGCTCTTTTCCGAATCTGCCTGGTAGGACCGGGACTTCTTGGAGAATGAGCAGTTCTTCTTGAACGCCCTGAAGAATGCGTCCTACAACATGACGTCCCATTCCACTTAACATGGACTGCTGCCCCTCAGCGAGCATCGGACCCTGGACTCTCCCTTGCCACGCTGCCGGGCCTGCCAGAGCCCTCCATCCGGACAGCCTGCCTGTGTGCTCTTGCTAGCCCTGCACCTCTGGGGCTCTGACGTGCTACAGCCCCCAGGAGCTGAGGGTGCCTCATCACAGACTTCTGGCTCCAGTCTGAGGGTCTGAGGAGGCAGCAAGCTCCACCAGCTTCAACCATAGGCAGCCGCTTCAGGTTTATGTGCCTGGGCCTTTTCAGAGGCAGGGGTTTTCTTGGGGGAAGTACCATGAACAGCCTTCTACCTTCTTTGCCTGAGAGGTCCCCTCCCTAATGGGGACATGGACAAAGGCCTCCTGGGCAAGTGAGTGGGAGGTCTGGTGGGGGCAGGGAGGGCACCATGCCAGATTCTTCTCAGGGTTCAATGAGCTCCTGGGATTCAGCCAGCCACTCCACCCCCACTCATTCTCGGCTCTGCCCAAGTGGCTGACCAGCTCAACATGAACTTTGGCCTCCAGCTTCTTCCTCCTCAGTTAGGCCCTCACCAGAAGCAGGAGTAGGGAACTGTGGGTGATGTTGGGGGTGTGGAAATGGACAGGGAAGGAAGACAGCCAGAGCCTCTGTCCCTGGAGGGGAGAAAGGTGACCTATAGGTCCCCATGCACTGCTACTGCCACCTGCGCCTTTGCTGGCCTCCACACATGTACAGGCCGTGTGCCCAGGTCAGCTGGAGGGGTACTCAATGTACCCGGCAGACCCAGGACAAATCAAGTCGACTAATAAAATTGCAGTTGCTGCTAAAATTGCTTCTGTGCAGGAGCGATTCCTCACCTTGCATCCCAGAGGAAGCCATCCCAGTAAGCAGGAGGGCGGAGGAGGAGAACACAAGGGAGAAGTGGCACCATCTGTAGCTCTCTGCTCTTTGGAACAGCTTTCAGAGGGACCTAATTTATTTGCCAACAGTTTGTAGCTTTGGTCTTGAACACATTAGACTATGCTCTGCTTGCTTACTCACTTACTATGGTACTGGGGATTAAATTCAGGGGAGTTCTGCCACTGAGCTATATCCCCAGCCCTTTTATTTTGAGACAGAGTCTTTCTAAGTTACCAAAGCTGAACTTGAATTTGTCATCCTCCTGCTTCAGCCTCCCAAGTAATTGTATTTTTAATTGGGGGGAAAGGGCTGAGATAAACCCAGGGCCTCTTAAATGCTAGGCAAGTGCTCTATCACCGAGCTTCACCCCAGCCTATAAACTGTCATATT